AAAAATATAACAGCACATTTGTCCTGGATATGACGTTAAACTACATCCGCGTCCAGGGTAAGATGATAAGCTACGTCCAACAGCACGGCCTCTGATCAGGAGGCTTTAAGGATCATGAAACCACCTCTTAATTGCTGGTGTTCCCAGATTCACCTTGACCCGGAGTGGTAGCACCTGTTAGGGTCCCAGCTATGGGCAAATAGTTAACCCCGAAACTGAAGAAAAAAGCATGATGAAAGTGTAAAAATAGGTTTTAATACCAGAAATACTTTGTAAAAAATTATTACCAGAAATAAATTTTTGAAGAAAAAAATTATTACCAGCAATAAGTTTTTGAAAAAAATATATTACCAGTTATACAATCTCGAGGTAAAAAATATTACCAGAAATAGATTTTTGAGAAAACAAAAATATTACCAGGAAAAAAAAGTTATCGGTATTAAATGACCAGTTGAGATTGATATGCCGTAAAACAAAACAAATCAAACAGTAGTTGTCGGGTGCTTACAGCTCAGTGATTAGATTTTCAAAATGGATGCTATGCAGAACAATATCCTTTGTCGTAATATGTCATATGGTCATAAAAATGGAACATTAAAAATATTTTCATTTGTTTATTTAAACGTAAGAGTGTACAAAATGAAAAATTATTAAATTGATAACATTTTCATTTTTGTTTAAACAAAAGTTTCAATTTTCACTTGCGATTTTCTCTGAAATCAAGTAGCGTCTCTGATATGTGTTTACACGCGGTTACAACAGAATACTATATTATTTATGAGCTATTGGCAGGACGTAACGGTCGTGTGAAGTAAATAAGGAACTAAATAACTAACGAAGCGAGAGACAGAATTTTAATGGAGATTAACAAATGAATGCGGTAACAATAATATTTATTCTTCTCCCACTTTGTAAACAATTGTCGAATTCCCATAGGTAATAAGAAAGAACGGGCGTTCTTAATTTTGCGACATACGAAAAACTCTGCAGAAGTTATATTTAATTTAGGCTTTATGGCTTATAAAGTGATGTTTAACAATAACATTTACGACAGTTATGGCTACCTTCTTCTTACAACCTCATTGGGGCTTTTATAGTAATTTATAGAATCCTTTGTTTTATTAAGAAATATTAATATCTACTTCTCAAAAATGTCAGCGTTGATTATAGTCCCGAGTTGTATTTCAAATATATTTACAGCATTTTTAATTAAACTAGCCTCATATTTTAACATTTATTGAATGAAAGAAGCATTCATTTTTTACTCAATTTAAGACCATAGTTATATATATATATATATATATATATATATATATATATATATGTATGTATGTATCTATATGTGAAAAGTTAAAAATTAATATATATATATATATATGTGTAAAAATTAATATATGTATATACATATATATATATATAGTTATATATAGTTATATATATATATTAATATAATAATATATAAAAAAATAATATATATATATATATCTTTATATTATATATATATATATATATGTATGAAAATAAAAAAATTAATATATATGAAAATTAATATATATATATATATATATATATATGTGTGTGTGTGTGTGTTAATCAGTTTGTCTGACTATCGCAAAACCGTGAAACCCAGAGTCACAAACTCACATCAATCCAACCAAATATATATATATATAAATATATATATATATATATATATATATATATATATATATATATATATATACTGACTCTCCCCTTCGAATTCGACGTCTGAGGGTCAAGCAGATCAGTTCCTAGGAAACCGACAGCCCGACAACAGCACACAATACAGAGAGCTGGTGCACTACGTGCCACAAGGGCCCTAAACGACCCTTCACAGGTTTTGAATTCAGAGTTGGCCTTCTCCTGGACCAGTTGCCATCCAAGGCTATAGAACCCAGTCTGTCCTGCTATTTACCCAGAGAGAATATATATATATATATATATATATATATATATATATAGTACAGGTAATAAATCCGTTGTTATATAATCCAAGTGGATCCTAGTAATATAGAATATTAAATCTGATCCACAAAAAGACCCCAATGTGTTTATTATAACAGAGCCAATGAATAGTTTTACACAACAAAAAAAAATAACATCATATGAGGGGATAGATCTATTTCAACCAACGAAAATACGTCAGTCTTATTCAACCCCGGTGTACAAACAATTTTGTATTTTGCTGTGTAATACTATATATATATATATATATATGTGTGTGTGTGTGGTTTTGAAATTCTGTTTTTGAATCCAGAATTGCTGGTTTAGCTGTTCTTTGAGGATGAGGAGGCATTTAATACAAGAAGGCTTCGTGGTAGAGTGCTAAATAACTAAGAAAGTGATGGAGCGATAATAGAATGGTAATTTTCTCTCTTCCTTTAATAAAGATACTAAGAGGCCAGTCCGTGAATATGAGAGGAGCCTTTTGAAAATAAATAGCCAAAACGTTTCCAAATTATTCAGTGAGTCATGTCTCAAATTTCTCCTCTCAAATTCTGATTTTTGGGTACATGATTTTATTATCAGATGTCGTTGTGTTAATGACTATTCACTATATATCGAGAGGAGAACTCTTTTTCGTTGCACAATCAACAACCATTATATATATATATATATATATATATATATATATATATATATATATATATATATAGTGGGGGAAATAAATATTCGTACACTTGAAAAATTGTATTTTTATAAATGTAAAAGCTTTAAATAAAACAAATCTTGGCACATTTTATGTATAATAACACATACTATTAAAAAATAATAATAAACTTAATTAATTCTTATTCTAACGGAAATTAATGCATTTTTTAAAATTCTAACTGGTGAAAAAATTATTCGTACAAATCAATTATTAGAATGAAATAATCAATTAATTATGAAAAAAGTATATTGTAAAATGTTCCAGTAATGTTATTAGTAATTATAGTAAAAGCTATTAGTCATTATCAGAGCATTCTGCAATTTCTAGTCTTACGAGAAGGTTCTAATAATGCCTAAAGGTAAATAATTGACTATTTCACAAAAACAACACATTTTGTCTCTTTGGAAAGATGGGGACAGTTACAGAACGATTTCTAACAACCTGAATATTCCTTTTACTACAATTGCTTCGTTCATTGCAAGGTTTAAAACTCGTAACAGCGTCGAAAACCAAAGACGAACAGGTGCTCCGAGGAAGATTTCTCTAGGATCAGCAAGGATATTAGGATGCCAGATCCAAAAAAATCCACAGGTTACCCGAGAAGAGCTGCAGGAACATCAGCGTGCATTAGGGATTAAAGTAACCAAGCGTACAATAAGTAATGAACTACACAAAAACAGTCTGAAATCACGCAACCCAAGGAAGACTCCACTCCTCTTGAAACGACACAGAGATGCTAGGCTAAAATTCGTTAGAGAGCATAAGGATAAAGAATATTCATTTTGGGAAAAAGTACTATGGACAGATGAAACTAAAATAGAGTTGTTTGGTCATAATTATCGAAATCATGTGTGGAGGAAGGACGGGGAAGAACACGTCGCCAACTGTAAAGTTTGGTGGTGGCAGTATCATGATCTGGGGCAGTTTTTCTGCAAAAGATGTTGGCAGAATATCAATAATAGATGGCAAGATGAATGCCGAAAGCTCCCAGAAAATCCTGCAAGACAGTTTAATGCGTTCTGTTGAGAGACTTCGGCTACCTCCTGATCGGGTTTACCAACTGGATAATGATCCTAAGCATGCCACCAGATATACAAGGAAATGGTTAGCTGAAAGTAACGTTGATGTCTTGCAATGGCCAAGTCAGTCCCTAGACTTGAACCCAATCGAGAATTTATGGCGATATTTGAAAATTCAAATTGGGAAAAGAGCACCAACAAATATCAAGAATTTGAAGACAATATGCCAAGAAAAATGGAGCAAAATACCACTCAATGTGTGCAAATTAGTTGAGACGTACAGGAATAGACTGGTAGCTGTTAAACTCATAAAGGATATTCCACAAAGTATTAAATTAAGTTAATATGCTTTTTTATTTTGTACGAATACTTTTTTCATCAGTAAAATGAAAAAAAATGCATTAATTTCAGTTTGAATAAGAATTAATTAAGTTTATTACGATTTTTTAATAAAATGTATCTTTGCACATAAAATGTATCAAAATTTGTTTTAGTTAAGGCTTTTACATTTATAAAAATACAATTTTTCATGTGTACGAATATTTATTTCCCCCACTTATATATATATATATATATATATATATATATATATATATATATACACACAAATGTAATCTGAGCGATAAGAATATAAATTCAAAAGTTCTTAACCTTAATTTAAAAGAGGGCTCAGAGTAAAGAGTAGAGCAATAGTTATTTATTTATTATAAGTTATTACATGTACCAAGTTATATTGATACATATGTATGCATATGTAAATATATATATATATATATATATATATATATATATATATATATATATATATATATATATATATATATATATATATAGGGGTGCGTGTATGTGTGCGTGTGTTCTCCGTGAATGGGCTTTTGACAAATTTCTTTTTTGCCGGCCATTTGAAACATCTTTGCTACAGGTTCAAATATCCCATCTACCGACTCAAAAAATAAATCTTTGAAACTTCGGTAGCCATCTTTTACCACAGCTTGCAAATATTTTCTTTTGTGTAATTCTTATGTACGATAACTAATGTCAACACAGCGCAGCTGTCGTCTTCGATAGCTAAGCTCACTAACCGCTCTAAATCCATCCCCCAACCCACTGTTGAACTCTCCTTCGCTTCACGTTGTTATTTCGCAAAAAAATAAAGAATCTCCTTGCAGCATATTGACATTCACAAAGGGTCTGTGCCCGCGTTGACTTTCTCTCCTGTCGTTTCGCGCTGGGGAGACTCGCAAAATATGTCTTCATATTGCCTGAATGCCCGACATTATTGAGCGGTTTTCTCCTACACACATCGAATGGTTGTTCACTTTTCCCTCCCCTCCATCATATCTGCTGACTCTTCATCCTTTCTTTTAGAAACCCACCTTTTTTCTCCCTTCTTCTCTTTCCTTCCATATTCTCTTTCTGTTTGATTGTGTACGCGTATATACGGCAGATCCGCGCATGCGGTGTTGTTAGAACTTACAATGAAGAATTATCTTGAGCATTTGTGCGTTTCTGTTTATTTTGATTGGCTATCATGAGCTTCAGTTGTCATATTATTTAAAAGCCAAGGTTGAATCTCGTAAACTTATTATGAAGCAATGGTTAGCCGTATAATCTCGCAGGGTATTATTAGTAGAGACTTAAATTCCTGCTGATTTACTTATGTTGTTATGCAGTGTGCTATGGAGACAGTTAACGGCGCTCAATAAATTCTCCTAAGCACCTTCTTGAGAAACAATGATAAGGAAGATATTTTGTTGACTGTTGCGATTTTAATAAGTTTGATACTCGCTACATTTATGTGCTGCTTCTGTTCAAGACGTGGATGAGCATAGGTCTGCAAAACTTCGGATTTCGGTGTCACATTGTCTATATTCTTGCTGACAAACGATACTTAAATATAATTTTTATATCTCATAAAATGGTTAGCGATACATTCTAGCAAGCACCTTGAAAGAGACGGTGAAATTTAAGTGTTAAAACGAATTAGTTCTTCTATAATTAAGTTACTCGAATGACAACATATAAAGGGTGTTCCAATAACTTGGATCGATTTTAAATATGAATTAAGTTTAAGCGTCTAATGAGTTTTTGTTTTCTTTTTCTTTCAGATTTGGCGGACATTTGGGAGATATTATTTTTCACACATAATTGCTATGAATTCAATAAAATGATCCAATAGAGAAATAAATAATCACATATTTATTTACTGATGCCTTTGATCCCTCGTAATGAAACATTCTTATATATAATCAATCTTAATGAAACACCCTTTATTATTCAAAAATTATTAGTTTTGAAAATGTTCTTTTATGATATAATGAGTATACGGTCATATCACGTTGAAATAACAGTTCTCCTACTATCAGCGAAGTTAAGGAAAGTCGGACCTGATCACTATCTAGATGGGTAACCGCTAGGGAATACCAAGTACTGAAAAGCAAAGGATTAGTTGATAGCAATTTCTACAGGTTATTTTATGCCCAAATCTAAATGTTTTGAACTCAACTGCATGCTTTGCTTTCAACTACAGAGAAAATATATTGTTGATCATTTTGCGATATATATATATATATATATATATATATATATATATATATATACATTATTCGGACTAGGGCCCTCATCTTTGTCGCCATATTTTTTACAACGTTTCGGCCGGCTTTCTACAGGTGGTTGGAATGTCGAATTGAACCCTTTATTTCGCTCACTAGGGTAGACTGTTATAGTTCCACATGCCATATTTTTTTAATGGATATCAGTTATCAATTATCTCCTGTTAATTTACCTCTGAAAGTTTTCCGCAGGGAACCTGAAGAAAGAAGGCCGGAGCGTAAAACGGCCGAACGTTATAATAAATATGGCGACAAAGACAAGGACAATAGTCCGAATAATGCAAATAATATACATAATACTACACCTCAGAAATATAGACATATATATATATATATATATATATATATATATATATATATATACTTTTATGATGTTTTGTTTTTGTTTGAGGGGTTCACTATTTGCCTATAAACGTGACTCTAACAGGTTCTACCACCCAAGTTCATGATGGATCTGGGAACAACAGAAATTAACAGGTGCTTCCACGTTCCTCAAAACCTCCACTCTCCTGATGAGGGGACTTGCGAACCGGGTATAGTCTATCGTTTTATCCAGGACTTTATCTTCAGAAATTTACCATACAAGCTAAGAAAACAGATTTCTACCCAGAATTTCTTGCCTCATGAATAACAAGTTAAGAAAGATTATGCTGTGTCATGAATAATATTCTATTTACATCTACAACTCCCTATTCTTTGTAGCCCTTAGAAATTCGTATCTTTATAAGAACACCTCCAGTACCTCTTAGGCCATCTATTTACACAAGATTCATAGCCAGGTTATGTGCTGTTTCTCTCTGCCTATCTTAAATATGCCCTGTGAGTGTCAAATGCTCCAAGCACTCTTTCCTCATTATATGTCCTTTTGATTCTGAGTATAAGTTTTCTTTTGTTTCCATGTTCCTTAAAAACTTCCTCGTTATTCAAATGAGCAGTGCATGGAATTCTCAGCATTCGTTATGTTCTTCTTCATTAAGGAAATGGCTATAATATTATCGTTACCCTAATACGCAATGTTTACTAGATTTTATGCAGGAAAATGGTCTTGTGCCCCTGCTGTTTATTTCGAGGTCCACGACAATATCCAGAGATAATATGCAAAGGAATAGGTCCTGATCTGACATCTCGTCTCCTGTCACTTTCCCGCAGTCATACTGTGACTTCCCTCTGTCTTTTCTACAAATATTTTCATGGTAACTGCTCTGGCGAGCTACTTTCTCTGGTACCCCGACTGCATGAATTTAAGCATGCTAATAGGTTGGCATCTTGGTCCCCACCCTTTCACTGTCGAAATAGTTAAATGTAACCGCCTCTTCTACGCCAACAGCTTCTTCTCCTCCAATCCCCTTTAATGGAACACCTTTTATTCTACTTGCTTCACTGAGAACTATAATTTTTAAATATTCAAGTTTAATGTTAATCGATATATTTTGATGCTTTCATCCTAGTCACTGTCCTTGTCTATATCCTTTCCTCAAACACCCCTCTTTACAGCTTGCTCTCACACTCTGTAACCCCTTGCATGCTAGTGGCACTCCCGCTTTTACTGGGGTGAAATGCTTAAAAAAATAAAGTATATCCTTTATATACTTTATACATCCAGAGACGGATAATCAATGTGATAGGTCCTGATCTGGCATTTTTCTCACAGACGTGATGTGGCTTCCCTCTGTCTTTTCTACAAATATTTCCATCAATAGCTGAATCAGTTGCAAGGAAAATTGGCTCAATATGTCGTGCCAGGTTTTTCTCTCCATCTTAACTATCTACAAATCTATCATTTGTCCGTGCATTGAATACTGTTGCTATATTTGATCTGGTGACCCAGCTGTTCATCTGGAGGTTCTCGTCCAAATCCAAAGAAGGACCTGTAATGTAATCGATCCTTATTTGGCATCTCGACTTCAGTCACTTTCTCACAGACGTGCCGTAGATTCCCTGTCTTTTCAACAAATATATTTATGTCAACTGCTCTGACGATCTAGTTTCACTGGTACCGCAACTGCATGAATTTAAGCGTGCTACTAGGTTGGCATCTGGTTCCCACCCTTTCACTGTTGAAACGGTTAAATATAGCTGTCTCTTCTACTCCAGAATCTGCTTATCTCGCACTTCCCGATAGTGGAACTCCCTTCCTCTTACTCGCTTCCCTAATAGCTGTAATCTTCAAATATCCAAATATAATGTCAATCGACAGCTTCTGAGGCTTTGATGTAGTTCCCCGTCTTTTCTTTTATCCTTTCCCCAAACGCCCCTCTTTAGTCTTGTTCTCACTCAGTGTTAAATGTAGCCATCTCTTCTACTCCGGCATCTGCTTATCTCTCACTTCCTGACTGTGGAACTCCCTTCCTCTTATTCGCTTACCTGATGTAATATTCAAATGTAATGTCAATCGACATCTTCTGATACCTTGATCTTGATGAAATGCTTAAACAAAAGTTAGAGGATTATATTATATCCGAGACCATAATATTAACTTTTATTTCGCAGCCGCATGTATTACCATGTTTCACCGGAATTTACCTATATCTATGCAGCAAACAAATGCAAACATATAGTTTAAATCTCAAACCAATCACTTGACAGTTCCCATTTTCATCTTTCAGTTTTTTCCGGGCTCTTGTAAGATTATCGCTTAGTCATTACCGGCGGAACTAAGGAATATAGCTCGTCTGAACTTTTACCATGACAATAGCGATAGAGTAACGAGATGTCAGCAAAGTTTAGACTGTGAGTAATGGGTTATATTATAATTCATCAAACAAAGCGTCATTTAAACAATTGAACTGAAGACGAAAATGTGTGTATTAAGCAGCTCCAACCCAAATATTCCAACAGTACAAAACGTTTGATCTAACAAGACTCCTGTAATGATAGATCATGACAAAGGGAGTCAAGTATTTTCTAGAACGGTATAAGGAAGCTGCCATTTTCCCGGCATTTTTTTCGATGGTTCCTAGATCCGAGTTCCACATCAAATCTAGAAGTAGCTTGAATTCCAGTAGACATTCAAAGCAAAGAGATTAATTGAGAATACAACTGTTTATCAGGGTACGTGCATTTGTCCTTGTGCCAGACACACCTGATATTAGCATATAGAGTAATAAGTCTGACTAATGAAATGAGCTTGTTCCGGCTCTGACATTTCTGGCTTATGCCAGACGATGTTAATTTAGTAAGGAAAACTAATTTTAAAATTACCTTGAATAATAGATAAGTTCAATGAATTTCAAAGTAACCCACCTAAATGTGTCAACCATTTAAGGAACTGTATCTTAATGGATTCCGCCTTGGGTAATCATGAAGACGTAGAAATTAGTAATTTGATCTGAAAAGTCCTGGTGTGAAAATCAGATTCTCAGCAACGGATTGACGTTAGCAATTAGTCAAGCTAATCATCATTTAGTACACACACGCACGCGCGTGCGCACACGTACACACACACACACACATATATATATATATATATATATATATATATATATATATATATATATATATATATATATAAGTGTACATTGAAGTCAACACTCCCAGACTGATTCATGCTAGATGCAATCGTCAGGACGCGAGTGTTGAGTTTTTTCTCGACTATTTATATATATACGGATCAGTGGTGCATTGAGAGTAGTTCATTCTTATTCATCGTGAATGGAGGGTGTCTCTAAACATGGAATCAAATCTGTATCTTTTTTTCTGTCTGTATTTTTTAGATAAGGTATTGTAATAATTTACCTGGTCCAGTGGATAAAATAGTTGGTTGGATCCAGTGATTTGACTCAAAGTGTTTGTTAATTACCTGGCTA